ATGAATGATGTGAAATCTAATCAAGTGTTAAATCAGACTTTAGTTCCACCTGGAGTAAATCCACAAGCTACCCTGCAGTATACAAAGTCATTCAAACTAGCTGCACCTTTACCAGCTTTGAGAACACTTGAATGATCAATCATTATAAAACATATCATATCTATTATTCTGAAATGGACCAATCTGCACAATGACTACTTTTACTGTCGCTACTTTCACTATATTTTGATGAAAATACTTTTCTACTTTTACTTGAGGAACATTTTGAATGCAGGACTTTTACTGTAACAGAGTATTCCTACACTCTGGGACTATTACTTTTACCTGAGTACAGGACCTGAGTACTTCTCCCACCTCAGCGTACGGAGCTCCTTCACTGATCCTGGAACAGTTCAGTAATCTGGTAATGCTCACACAGAGCTTGAACATGTCTGTCCACACTTTATCTGAATTTGATTGTTATGATATTTTGTTACTTTGAACTTAACCGAAATAAAGAGTGATCACACAGACTATACTTTTACAGGAGCACTGCAGTCAGAAGGACGCTTGATAGAAAACATAATCGATACAGCAGAGTGTTCCCTCTGAACAGAGCACAGCTTGTTTGATGACATGATCGAATTGGGAGGGATGAAACCCTCTTTAATAGTCACACACAGTGCCATCCTAGTACCAGGAGTCTAGTACCAGGAGCAGTGGGCAGCTATTGTACAGTGCCTGGGGAGCAATGTGAAGGGGGAAGGGGGGTGTCCAGTGCCTTGCTCAAGGGCACCACGGCAGGCCAGGAGGTGAACCTCTCCAAGTAGCAGTCCACACTCCATATTTTAGGTCTGGTCGGGGACTTGAACCGGCAACCCTACAGCTCCCAGTCCAAGCCCCTACTGACTGAGCCACTGCCGGACGGAGATAGTAGGATTGTTCGGCCTCTTCAACTGGGAGCAGATGTTCCTAAAATGAAAATCAGGTCGGGTTATTGAGCATTCAGATTTTAAACCAGAAAATGAAAATATTTGTACTCTCTGTGGGCTGATCTTAATGCATTTTGGGTGGATTTGGAAGATTTAGGGAACTGATTATTTATTGAAAAATAATTGAGATTGAGATAATCATTTTCATCTTGTGCTCTCTATATCCAATGGTTGCCACACTACTCATGGTAGCCAAAATCAGCTACAAATACAGCAGCTTTCTGCTTAAAACTGACTAAATGTCAGAAATGGACTAAACATCCGCAGTGACCCCCAAAACCACTCTAAAACTGTCAAAATCCAACAAGCCATTTGTTTTCATTTCTGGATTCACTAAACTGGCAACAACTACATGGTTCATTTTATGATACAAAAAAGTTGCAGCATGTCATAAACGAGATAAACAAAAAACATATAGTGTTTAATATAATACATTTGTCATTAAACATTATTACCATGTTAGGTGATAAAAAGGTCAGAGTATAGTTTGTCAAAGAAAGCATTAGTATAGTATCTCATTTAAGATCTTTTGATAATATATCAGAAAACAAATCCTTATGTCTCAAAAAAGTAATTGTATTGTTGGAAAAGGTGATTTAAAGTATTTTATATTAAAAGTTATAATATATGTCATTATAAAAACATAGTGGAGATGAGACGATGAGGCATAATGCAGCTCATCTGGACCGGTACAGGACATGTTTCATGTGCATCGAGTCAAACAGACATCTCTTTGATGTATGAGGAGATGATCTCCATAAAGAACATTGAAGTGTATGAAACCATTTAAGGATGTGTTTGTTTGTTCCCAGTCCTTACCAGTGGTCTGTGTGAGTGTGGAACTAGAAGACCGATTGTCAGCAGTTCTTTACTGAAAGATCCACAGGTCAGATTCAAAGCCGAGTGTTGCAACATTTAACAATATAACTTCCAACACAAAAGATCTGAGTTAAACCAAGCTCTAAAGATGCTATGACAGATCTCTGATCATGTTGGTTTTCTCTCAAAATGTACATTTCAGACATTGAAACACAAATACAGAATAAAAAGCTATACTTTGAATCAGATTAAAAAGAGATACATTCATTTTGATAAACCTGTATAAACTAAAGTGTACAGGATGATTTGGAGGTGTAGGTCTGTACACTGCATCTGTAAGGACGTGTTTAACGTGACCTCAGTGTTTCATAACGTCCTCAGGAGCTTAGAGCAGGACGAGGGACCTGCTGAACATGAACCCAGGTCTGCGTGTCTCAAGTGTTAACATTACTTTGATTTTACAGCAGATAAAGTGTTGAAATTATATAGTAATAGTTTAAGGAATAAACCTGAAAGCTAAAAAGAGTCAAACCAGAGCAAGTTGCACGTCTGTCCTTAAGGATGGTCCTGGACTAATGCAGCACTCCTTGTCATATCAAGTGGTGTGAAGTAAGTCCTCCGTACTTAGTGAAGAACAGTGACAAAGGATGCATCAATGACATGTTGCTGTGACTTCTGAGCGCAGTACAATCAAACTGTGTTCACACTGGTGCTGCTTTTCATTCAGATCTAAAGCCACGTATGTGCACTTGCAAGTGTTTGACTCGTCATTGTTCATGCTGGCTGAGGGACGAGTGGGACTAGATATGAAGCTAGCAGCTCTGACTTTAGTGAGACCCTGTCACTTCACACATTTGATAAAAGGTATCATTGATAAAACAATATAAGGGAAAGCATGCGTCCTTTGGAATGGATAGTGAGATCCATAGGCATCGTCATAGAGACCAAGTTATACAGCATGTTATTTTAAATATTTGACAAACACTAAATAGCATTTTGAAGATGTATCCTTCAAACTAGTTCTAAAAAGTGCCGTGTGAGCCGGCTCAGGTCTTCACTGAGCCGCTCTGAAAGAGACCATAATCTGAGATTATAAAACGGCTCGCACACATTAGTAATGCATCACAATCTAATCCCTCCCATCAGGATCATATGTACATTAGTGCTGTAATCCGACCAATGAATGAAGAGCCGTTGTACTGTGAGCATTTTATTGGAAAGCAGATCACCGTCAACAAAACCAACAGTTTCAGGTCAACTAACTGGATATCTAGGGAATGATGGAATGTTTCTAATGGAATGACGCGGAGGAATGAATTCAGACTTGTATCCCAGTACAGCATAGTGATGATGATGATGGTGATGGTGAGTGGGACAGACATGAGTGGCGGTCCCCTCCAGGCTACAGGGCTGAGGTAGAGTTGCACTGAGTCTCAGTAGAGCCAGCTGGCAGCACAGCTGGAGTAGCTGCACAGGTCGCCCTCCTTGAACCACAGAGAGATCTCTGTGTTGGCACTGTCCACAGAGTCGCTGCCGTGGATGATGTTCCTGTGGGGGGTGGGCAAACATGAGGAAGACGGCGATACAAGGAATCCAAAGAACAGCTCATATCCAAAAGGGTTGTGTTCAGAGTGACATCACTTTCACTAGCTGTCATGCGGTTTCCTTTTGCCTCTCACTATGCTTTCTGTCTGCATGACCCTAACCTTTGGGACTTTCACACAAGGTCATCTAGAATAAATGTATCATCTCGCCTTTTGAATGTATGCGTCAATCATTGGTGCTACTCTTGTAATCATCATGATTTAATGTATGCTTTGGATTGTTCTCCGTGTCAGTGTTCCATGTTGTCTATCATGTATGGTTGCATTCTGTAAGAGCAGCAGGTTTGTATGAAACTTGATGTATCTGCTGGCTCCTGAAGTAAAGCACTCACTTGCTGACGTCGATGCAGAAGTCTCCTCGGATGGTTCCGGGCTTGGAGTCAGCGGGGTTGGTCTCCCCCAGCATCACCCTGCCGGTCTTCACGGCACCCTTTCCCTCCCACACCTGGACAGAGCAGAGGGAGGCATGAGATCTGTTTCATACGGCACACACTTCTGACTTTCAGCTCCTGTGTGCTGCATCTCTTACCATGGCGACCACGGGGCCGGAGGTCATGTACTTCATGAGCGTGGGGAAGAAGGGCCTCTCCTTCAGGTCGATGTAGTGCTGCTCCAGCAGGTCCTGGGGGGCCTGCAGCGGAGACAGGGAGTGCATTTATGAAGCATCACAGGTGAACCAATCTACATTTCAAACATTTTATTCATCATGTTAGAAAAGGGGAAATGCTAGAAGGTTCACCTGACCACCTTCTAAAGTGACAGCAGAATTGCTCACTATATGACTTTAGAGAGAACCTTCATAGAAGGTGCAACAGATTACCACTTGCTTAAAGGCAGTGGGACCAGTCAGTCCACGTGCTGCTGTGTGTAGTGGTGCATGGGCGACCAACACGAGGATGGGCTAAGACTGACACGTTAGAATAAGTTGTGTTAATGAACAGTAGAAGCTCCATTTCCCAGGCCGACACTCACTGCAAGCAGAAGAACCTTTCTCATGAGGCGCATAGAAATACAGCTGCTTGTGCAGACCTTCCAGAACATGTTAACACGCACACATACACACTACAACATACAGACCCACTCATCTCTACAAGGATTTAACTTTCATCATTTCTTCAGTTGGATCCTAAATAGTTTGAACTGTTGCATAAAGTCACTCCTGTTTACAGATTATTTTCACATCCTCCACTGTAGGAATATTGCCCTTCAATACAAACAGTTTTGTGTTCTGCACTGACAAAGGATGGTTCAGGTTGTTTGCCTCGTTTCAGAACAGAAGCAATCCTTCAGAGAGTGCAGTGTTCAGCACAATAATCCCAAGCTACCCCATAATAACCTTCCAAAGCCTCTGAGGAAGACCCTGCTCACCCTCCAGAGCTCATGCTCAGGACACATGTTGAATAACCAGAAATCCCACAAGCAGACATCTCTAGGCCAAAGTCACTGCTGATGCAGGACACACTTCCAGCTACCCATTCAATATCTGCTATGTATCTAATATTGTAGTGAACAACTAATCCAACCAATTCAGTATGCTAGCCTTATGAAGTGAAAAGTCATGCTGGGTTCTAGATGATGACTCAACAATACAACAATGTGTCAGCAGTCAGTCTGTGCAGCACCTGGCTCTCTGCACCATTCACTTGACCAACTAAGGAAAGTCATACATGTCTAGTTACATGTTCTGTACAAACCATTCTTCCATAATGAAGGTTTCCAAACAGTGTCCTAAGATGTTAAAGGATTAGGAGACTGAGATAATCTACACTAGTCAGGAATAGACAGGAAGGCTTATCAGCTCACTGCATGTCCTACTAGTTGGCACACTTGCATCATGTGCAGAGTTACAGATCACACAGGTGAATGTCATGAAAGTGGGCTTCAAGGTACATTTACGCAAAGCCTTACAGATAAACACTTTGACTTACATGGAGCATCTTCATGCCAACAAGTTTGAAGCCCTTCGTCTCGAACCTCTTGATGACCTCTCCGATGATGCCCCTCTGCACACCATCTGGCTTGATGGCAATAAAAGTGCGCTCCTTCTGCTCAGCCATGATTCTGAAACAAAGCAAAATAAAAAGATGATGACGTGAAACAAAGAGCAGTCTGCAGGAGGAAGAAGTCTGGAGAGTCACTCACGCTTCCTTCCTGCATGACTTGGCACAGGTGGGGCCGGCTGCGGAGGGCCCCGACCCCATTGCGCAGTAAACACAAATGACAAGGCTGAGGGTGGAGTGGGTCTGGAAGGAGATCACCTGAAGGGGATAACTGTGACTTTGACTTTCAGCCCCGCCCAGAGTGAAGACTTTGTACACACACACACATACTTGGTAGCACTACACTCAAACAGCCTGAATAGGACCAACCCACCAACAGTTTGGTTGCCCATGTGGCTTTGATGGATAAAACTAATGTTTTTCCAGCATATACAGCTGCTGCAGGCTGAAACCAGGCCTACAACACACAACATTAACTGTTGCACATATAAATGATTACCTTACACAAAAGGTATGATATACTGTTGGAATTCACCTACCCTCCATTTAAACACCATGTCGCCATTTTGTTCCCTAATTTCACTGTCTTAATGTAAAGAGTATTTAACAGTTTACATATGACTAGCATTAACTAAAATGTGTGAATGATAACCTTCCAAGTTACAGTCTAGTAACCTGGAGGTACTAGTGCTAGAGTTTACAATTACTTAGTAATGATTTCTAGATTAAGTTTAGTCTCAACTACTTACTTAGCACATAAGCAAAAAGCACATTGGCTTCTTAAGAGGCGTTTGACTGCACGAGCGCAAAGTACAATGGAAGGCCTGCAGGTTCTGCTCACTGGTCAGTGACGTGTAGTCTGCAGGCTGCAGCTGACACCCGGAGTCCACCCAAAGCACAGTCCTACCAAGTTCAGACAGATAGTTCCCTACTTCTGAGCACTCAGTTCATCACTGCAGCCCGCCACATACCGGAACCAACAATTGAGTTAGTGAATAGTGACAGTGCACGTGGAGGCGGCGAGAGGCCACGGCCTTCACAGCCGCCTGCTCTTTTGTTCGCGCCGCTGCGGAAAAATCAGCTCGGCCTTCATCCAGGACTCCTCCAGGCCCGCAGCACCACAAGATACAGCTACCGAATAGCTTCAGTTGATTCTACACTCACAGAATTACACAGAAATGTGTTTAAACCAAGTTACTAACGGAGTAGGACTTCTTCAAAACTAATGCACTTTAGCTTCAACGTGGGGCGTAAGAAAAGGAGTGTCTATATCAATATGTATTTATATTAAAACATAAGTTACATAAACAAGCAAAAATAGGAATACATATAAACCCATTACCTTGTAAAGATTGAGTGGTGTGTATGAGTTACTCCGGCTGGTTGACGTGTGAGAAGACCGACAGAGACTGCGCAGCCGGTTTTTATCCCTGAAGGCGGAGTCTAGTGCTACGGCAAGACAGTAGGGCCAAACATGTAATAAACAGTTTGCGTAATAGATTCATCATTTTAAATCATTGTAAATCCAGGAGTTTAAATCAGCAAAAGAGTGACATTGAAAAACACGACAGTACATATTCATTCAGAGGACAATACAATTAAAATTACAGTATATAAGTAACTGTTCAAACGAGATATCACAACAAGGCAAAACGATTTGTGGATATACAGAAGAAAGGCAGCTAGCAGTATGTGGTGGAAAGTAACTGAGTAAATTTGCTCAATCGCTGTACTCAAGTACACATTTGAGGTACTTGTAATTAACCCTTGTATTTACATTTTATAGAACATTGTAGTTCTGCTCAACTACATATTGGCAGCCAATTTTGTACTTTTTATTCCACTAGATTTATTTTATAGATTAATTTACTAATTACTTATACATTCAGATTTTGACTTATAATACTTAGGAAAAACTTTTAAATTATGATTATTTGGTAAAGATTAAAACTTCCAAAATGATATTTAAGTAACAAAAAACAGTGGGTGAGTGGGTTAACATTGAATATGTTTTGCATTTGCTTGAAAACATTTTTTTTTACTTGTATGATTTTTATCTTTTTATATATTGTATTTTATTTTTGTAAACATAAAAAAAATTGTGTTTTTGTTCGTATGTAGAATCTTCTTAATTAATTGTCTATCTTTTTGTGATGACATCATTTCTATAATGCCACCTTGGGTTAAAGCCATCCCAGTGGCTCCTGCTCCATAGCAAGAGAGAAGCTCTGGGTTAACGTTTAAGAAATGTTGCTCATCTTACTACTTTTGTAAAATGTTGACACTCGTATATGGATACCATTGTCTGATTGTCAAAACCGGACAAACAAACATGAATGGCTGGTACAAGGATTTGCCAAAAAGCAGTGGAATTGTGTTGTTATATTTATGTTGCACGGTAAGAGTGATAAAACTGAAAATGCCTCGATTTTTCCAAAAATGTCTGGACAGGCCATGTAAACCTCCATGCTGTATATAAAAGCTACTACTGCTGATAAGATGATGGTTTGCACCCACATTACAGGAACGCATTTACAAATGCACTTAATGCTGCAGGTCATAATACACATGCCATTCAGCTGTATGACAGAATGAAAGCTTTTAAAAGGTAGCTTTAAGAGCTTAAAGTCTGCAGCTCATAGCTTTTATGGTATAAGCATAAAGTCACTGTGCATTGCATGACATAAACGCAACAACCTTGCTATAGCCAGCAATAAAGAGGCCAATATCTGTATATATTAAAGCAATATATGCACCTAACTCTCTTCACTCGATGTAGATTAATGCAGTTTGTCTGAGCCTGACTTCTCTGTATGAACATATTCTGTATGTTGGCTCAAGTGAAACCTCCCTATGAGATGGATTCTGCTTTGATACTGTAAGTGTTCACCCTTCGCTTCATTAGCGGGCTGGCACTGGCTTTATTAAATGCTGAGGCAGCGTCAGTGAGAGCCTGAGATGAAGTGTGTGTGTGTTCAACGCTTCTTTAATCTGGTTATTAGATGGGTGGAAGAAAGAACCTAGGCTCACACAAAGCATTTCATGGTCTCACTTTTGTCGCATGTTTCATTAATGTATTCACTCACTCAAAAAGTAAACGTTGCAACTAATGCGCAGAGGGTAAATAGGCAACAGACACAACACATATATAAGAGACATCACCACCAGATGCACCAAATGTTCTTTTCCATTCAAATCTGTTCTTACTTTGTGCTGAATCCAAAATATTGATTTTAAACTGTAGGCATGTGGTCTAATTATTAGCATAAGTCAAGGCTCTGGCACATGCCCAATAACTGGAGGGATTAGACGTCTACACAAAGTATAACAATTAAGGTACTGTTCCCAAAGATTCAGAACTGTTTACAGGAGAAATCCAAAGGCTTCCAAGAGCAGTATATGAGCCACTCGGAAGCACAAGAAATCCTCCATGTTTGTGTATTCTACCAGGATCAATGGACCAATCGTTTGGTTCAGCCCAAGATGTGAGCCTTGTTTAGTCTCTGTCCAGAAACATAACCAAAGAAAGTCAGTGAAAAATAAGTCTGCAGTCAGACGCACCCGACAGAGATCAGCAACACTTCTCTTTCCTTCCCTCCTCTTTCCTTCCCTGTGCCCTTTCCTCTCCCCTCATCTCCTGTTTCCTTCCCTCAGTTCTCACGTTTCCTTTCCTTTTATTTCCTGTTTCTGGACATCTCCTCTCCCCTCGTGTCCTGTTTCCTCCCAGTGCCCACACCTCTCTTATCATTTCCTTTCCTTTTCTCTTCTGTTTTCTCTCCTCTCCTGATTCTGCTTATCGCATGTCATATTATGGAGCTAAATCTAGGCCAAAAGTTTTGATCAAAAAATAAATATATAATGAAAGTTTTTTATATAATTTAAATTTGTATTCCTGTTCACACACTCCAGAAGGCTTGGTAGCCAGGCATGTGTGTGTGTTTTGTTATTGGGTGAGGTGCTCCTCTTAATACGAAGGCGTCTTCGGCTCAAACTGAGGATGTGGCATGATTGGCATCGCCCCAACGTTTTGTGACGTTCTTTTTCAGTGCAGGGCGCTACTTGCACAAAATGTGAAGCAAGAAGCTGTTTGTGCTGTAATGGATTGTAATACAGAGTCATTGTGAGTGTGTGAAGCTGTTATGTGGAATTGCTTTAGATGTAAAGTGGTGTTGACATACATTTCTCGCAGGCAAAAAGGTTGCTTTATTGCCCTAAATTGCTCCTACACTGACGCAAAGGAGAGATTTCATGTGTTATATTGAAGGTGTCTTGTGGCAGGCAGCCAGTGCTTCTCTGAATCTCCTCTGCAGCCTGAAGGTGTGTGCCATAAAGCATCTCCACAGCTGCCAGTCGGATGTATTGCTGAAATCCTCCGGATGGAGAGTCACACCTGCTTCCAGAGTTTAACAAAAAAGGGTCGTGTTCACCCAGATGCCCTCATAAAGCCTTAAGATCCAGAGGAGGGAGAAGTACTCAGATCTTGTACTTAGGTGAAAGTAGAAGTACCAGAGTGTAGGAATACTCTGTTACAGTAAAAGTCCTGCAAACAAAATGTTACTCAAGTAAAAGTAGACAAATATAATCATCAAAATGTACTTACCAACAGTAAAAGTAGTCATTGTGCAGATTGGTCCATTTCAGAATAATAGATATGATATGTTTTATAATGATTGATCATGAAAGTGTTCTCAAAGCTGGTAAAGGTGCAGCTAGTTTGAATGACTTTGTATACTGCAGGGTAGCTTGTGAATTTACTCCAGGTGGAACTAAAGTCTGATTTAAGACTTGATTAGATTTCACATCATTCATCCACATCTGTAAAGTAACTAAAGGTATTAAATACATGTAGTGGAGTAAAAGTACACCTTTTACCTCTGAATTGTAGTGGAGTAGATGTGCAAAGTAGCATAAATTGTAAATACTCAAGTAAAGTATCCCAAAATTGTACTTAGGTTCAGTACTCGAGTAAGTGTACTTAGTTACTTTCCACCTCTGGTAAGATCACTGCACTGAACGAGACACCACAGATACGAGCTGTTTAGGTGAAATGGGTTTTGTTGGGATTCTACAGCGACATAAAGCAGCTCCATGTGACCTTTTATTGGCAAACATCCACTCTAATGACTAATAATCAGTGGTGTAATGTAACAAAGTACATTTACTCAAGTAATGTACTTCAGTAAAAAATGGAGGTATACTCTAACTTCAGTACTTTTAATTCCACTACATTTATTTGACACATTTAGGTATTAGTTACTTTCAGATTAAGGTTAATACAAAATATCAATCATCACAAACATTATCATACATTATTATAGACTAAGCTACCCAGTAGCGAGTAGTGTATAAAGTAATTCAAATAAACCCCACCTTCATCAAGTACAACATTGAAGTCATGAACAATTGGATGCACTAGATGGATCATTTAAATAATTGAAAAATATCTGGTGTTTAAATGTGCGTTTCTTCTTGTTTCTACTTTACTTTTGGTCATTAAAGTATATTTTGATGCCAATCGTTTTTTACTTTAACTTAAGATAACATTTCAATGCAGTACTTTTACTTGTAAATTAGTATTTTACACTGCAGTATTGCTACTTTTATTTAAAGTGTCAGTTCTTCCTCCACCCCTGCTAATAATACAACCATCTGTGATTGTCAAAGCATAAACTAAAAAAACAGAAACGTTGACGTTATTTAAATGCATTATGTCAACAGATTTCACATAACTGTATTAGGTTAGTTGAAGCCATAATATTAAGTTTAAATAAAAAATATTAGCTTCAACTTAATATGATTGCTTTAAGCTAACCTAATACCAGCCTCTCCTCCTCCAAAAAACGACCAAATAGGTTGATTGTTCAACAGCTTATTACAACCTATACAGATGTAGCACTGCATTTCAGACTCCAGTTTACAGCTTCCTGCCTACGACCTGCCTAAGACCAGTATAGAGGAATGTTAAGCCCTCCCACTATTTTCCAAGAGGGCGTTGCCAGATTTTCAATTTCAGGTTTTAACCAGGAGATGGCGCTTCATTCACAAATACAGAAAGACAAGTTTCATGGACTTTCAGTTGTGTTTTGAAGAGCATTTGAACACATCAATATTTTAGATCAACTAAAGTATATCTAATCTTGTAATTCAATAATATATAGTCTTTATATATTAAATAATCATAATTATAATGTAAATGTTTACATTACACTTCTTTATTTGTTATGCTCATACTTTTACCTTTACAATCGTTTGCTTTAATATGCAGTATATTTTTTGTATATTTTTGCGTTTGCTTCCTCCTGCTCCCTTTCGGACACATACTGTATGATTTATTATTATTATTAATATGAAGATATTATTAAGATAAGATAAGATGTTACTTTATTGATTGAACATTTTAGTTTAGAATGTGCTGTCCCACGGTAATTCAGAAGGCTCACAGG